TAAAGTTATCGTTGAAAGTATAATATGATAATATATATTTTATTTTACAATATTAATCAGTGAATTCAATCCAGCTCAATGGCAAGAAGATTGGACACGAAAGAAGTGTTAGTAGCAGTTTCACCTAAAAGGGAGTGAATTGGGTGAAATAAAAAAAAAATTTGACTTAATAAAATCAATAACTGAATATAACAACAAGGATAAGTAAAGAAGGATTTCACTGAGGATGAACAAATGAGCAATGACACAGGAGATTATACTAGTTCAGTCTCAACCACTTGACCTACGTCCAGTCCTCAAAGCACCACTGATTTTGCACTAACTCTCCAAGATTCAATAGGCTCTTGGTGCCACAGTACAGCAACTGAGTCTCTCTCAATCACTCTCCCTTACTACCCGTAAGGTTACAACTCCTCAAAAGTCCACACTTTTGAGTAACTCACAAATTTGAGTAAAAGAAATTTTAGACTCTCTCATAGAGTATATATTTTAAACATTGAAGTTCGGTACAAAAAACAGAGTATTGAATGCAACAGGAAATTTCAACAGATGGTAGCTCAGCTTATTCAATACTTCATTCAATGCTCTTCGCGCCATTTGTAGTTGGAGTATTACAGTTATCTATTAGACTGAAGAGCTTCTAGCCGTTGGAAGATCGCTTGTGTGTGCTCGGCAATTACAATGGTTGTTCGTAATAAATGTTTCTAACACAGTAGGTTTAAGCCTATAATTTTATCCGTTATGCTTCGTAATCTGTAGAAGTCTCTTAGCATAAGTAAGCTTTGTTCTTCAGGTAAATATAAATGAATAATAGAAAAGGTGATGATTCTTGATATTTATACAATAGATAAAAATATAAAATCAATCATCAGATATTCAGAAAGTAAGATAAACTTACTAGATTGATGTCTTGATCGATAACCCCTTGATCGATAACATCATTGATTAATTAGATAGAGATATACTTAACATATGAATTCATTTATCGAGTTCATTATAGATCATCCAATTACGGAATAAGTGATCGATAAATGATGAAATACTGACAAAGAAATTTTAGAAAGGAAAGTACTTTTGAATTCTGTGCAAGGTTTATTCATTTTAAATTTATAAGCCTTCGTGTTGTTCTAAAAGAAATAACATGATTAATGAAGGCTAAGAAAAGCTTAAAGATAATATGAAGAATCTTTCTGATAGATAATCGTGAATAACAGTTTCAAAGAGGTGAATTGATTTATATATCGAATAGGTGGTCGAACAATACTTGATTAAATAGTTCATCGATAATTCTATGTTATCGTGAAAATATCTTTTAAACATAATGATCTGGCACTTGATCAATAAAGGCTTGATTGAACAAGTGATCTGAAAAACAGTTCAGGAAGACTTGAACAGTCATGCATAAAGATAAGTCGATGATCGATTAAATAATCAATTAATAGATAATTGATTAAGTGATCAATTATTGTCTATGAAAACTTTGTTTTGGAATATAACAGGAAGAGTTTGATAGAACAGATTATTGATTAACCAAAAATGATTTGTCAAACAATGTTCAAATAAATTATTGATAAACTAATGATCGACAATATGATTGATAATTTAAAGCTGTGAGTGAGTCAAGGAAACTTACCAATTATCTGTGCCATTATCGATTCCCTCTTGATCGATCAGGTGATTGATACACCTTCTGTTATAAGCAAAGAAGTTAAACCTTTTTCCTGACAGCTTATTGATCAACCAATAATCGATCAAGTGATAGATGATTTCCTGAAACATCTTATATTAAGCAGTTATACCAATGATTGATCAATTGATTGATCAATCTATTTATCTAACAAGTTATTAAGCACAGTAAATTATCTATCACGTGATCGATTAATCATAATTGTAAATAGACACAAAATACTTTGACAATTATCTGGCATATGTTCAATTAACTAGTGATCGAACACTTAATCAATTAATATAACAAATATTCAGAGATACTTCGAAACTTAATTTGTTATCATCAAAACACTTAAATTCAACAAGAAGGTGGTCATTAGTTTGAACTTTGAAGAAGATACATTTAAGTTGAAATATTTGGATGGTGACATGGCAATAAGGTGGTGACGTGGTGATGATGTGGTGTCGGCGAAGCCATTTTTCTCCAACATCACTTTCAGCTAGAACTAGGAAAACGGGCCGGTTTGGCCCTGCAGGGCTGGCGGGCTTAAAGGAGCTAGCCCTACAGGGTCAAAATTTTAAAAAAAAAACCCCAATTTGCTAGGCCCGACCCTTAAGCAGACGGGCTCAGGGCCAGCCCATGGGCTTCCGACCTATTTTAAAATAAATTTCATTTTTCATATATTTTATCAAAAAATAAAAATAAACCAATGAAATTACTAGTAAAAGATATAAATATGAATGAAATTAAGTCACAAATATAAAAGACCATCATATCTAAATGTCCATCAACATACAAAAAATCTAAAACATCTATTAAACATAACAAGTCAATGATATTAACATCCAAAAGTTTCATTAAAAGTAGACAAACATTTTCACTAAAAAAAAAAGTGGATAAACACTATCATTAATTGTAAGAATATTTGATTGTGCTTTATTAATAATAGGCTCTTCTTAACTTTTAAAAATATCAATAATTTCTTAGGCTTTAATTGTGAAAATCACTTTGCTGCATAATCTTATGGGAAGTCTGAAATATCTTAGCACTTTGGATTGATCCATAGTATGCTTTTAATGAGCTAACTATGTCATCTTTTTTTTTTTTTTTGCTTTTGTTCCGAATGGTTTTCTTTGGTTTTGTCTAGCTCGTTTGTCTAACTCTATTTAAATATATAGTAAAAATTATGATATAGTCACTATAGAAAAAGTGTTAACTTATTTATTAAAATTTTATGACATATATACAAATTGTTATGTATCTGTTGATTCAATCATTAAATTTTTTGTTTTAATATGGGGAATATATTTTTTTTATTTTAATATATAAGTGTTGGTTCAAATAAATACAAATTTGAAATCTTATTTAGGATATGGAGAATATATTTTTATTTATTTTAATATCATTAGAGATTGGGGTGTGAGTTGAGAGTGAGTGAAAAACTGAAAGTAAACCTTAGAGAGGGAGAGCGTGTAAAATGTTATGGACTTAGATTAGGGTCAAGAAAAAAAAAATAAATTAAAAAATTATTGTTGGCAGACCTAAACGGGCTAGCCTTTTTATTTTTGAGCCCTACAAGGCTAGTCCTTTTAAGTCTAAATTCCTTTTGAAGACCTCAAATTACAACCCCGACCCTCAACTTAAACGGGTCGGCTTGATGAGTTCGACCTATTTTCCCGGCTCTACTTTCAGTAGCAACAAAAAAGCCACCGTCGCGGCAACAAATTTCATAGCAACAAAAGTTGACTTTCAGCGGCGATTTTTTTTGTTGCTACTATCAGCCACAGTCGCTACGGTAATAACTTTTTAACGGTGACATAAAACCTTTCAACAGCGATTTTTATACTTTTAGAGGTGATAAAAAAGTCAATTTTTTTGTAATGATATTTTGGTTCAGTTTTATCTCTGTTAATAATATTATTCAGTTCAGCTCCATGTTGTTAAATGCTTCATCTTGGTGTTTTGATTTTTTCGGTTTTCAATCCTAACTAAACCAAAACACCAAATACTCGCCCCAAACATATTAGTCACTGCTGAAGGGTCTTTTAGCGGCGACAAAGTAAGCCATCGTTGAAAAGTATTAGCAGCAATTACTATGGCAATGACTTGGCGATGATTTTTTGCTGTCGAAAGCTTTCAGCAGCAACTAAGTCAATTTTTTTTAGTGTAGGAGAAGGTGCCTAGCTAAAAAATTGTCTTAAAATAAAACTTGAAATCCAACCAATCTAAACCAGTACCACAACGTTCATCCAATTAACTGATTAGAGAAGACATATTGCTTTGACTTTAACCTCATATTAAGGATATATTTCCTTTTTATGATATAATGAATACGTGAGTTATGATTAAAAAATATATAATATAATATACAAAGAAATATATTTGCACAATAAATAATATTCAAAAAATAATAATATATAATATTAATGCATAATAAAATTAGATTATATTATTTATAAATTATGAATAAAGTGTAACTTATTTTTCTTGACTGTAATCATTTTTCTTCTCTATCTTAGCTTTCTTCCATGCCAGAGTGAATGTAATCCAAATTGGCATGTTTTGGTTTGTTTTAAATTGGGCGAAATTTTTTAAATAGTGACATATGTCTACAAAAGACCCTATAGTATAATTACGGACCTTATTTTACACAGCATTTGCAACTTTGTTTTGCTCAAGTTACTAGGTTTTTTGGATGGTAAAAAATGTTATTAGTTATTTATTGGCCGCGTTGATTGTATTATAAATATAGAAGTTGAACATAAAACATCTGAAACAACCATTGTGAATATTCAAGGGTTAAAGTATATATTTGCCCCGAAATTTTTTACTCAAAAGCTCTAAGCATTAGGAATTTCTTTTTTATGTAAATTTGACCCAGAAGTTTAAAATCATAGCAATATAATGTTACACTCTGTCATTAAAAATATTAATAGTCGACATCATTATTTTAATAATCAGCATTAGTTTTTTAAATATAAGATGCAATATTATAACAATTTTAAACTTTCAGAGCAAATTTATACAAAAAAAAAAATTCCTGATGTCCAGAGCTCTTGAATGAAAACTTTAAGGACAAATTTGCATCTTAACAGTACATTCAAAGCTGTGAAAAGCTAAAGCTACAGACTAGAATACATAATCGTCATTTGAACATTATCCATGAAGATAGACGTCTGCTAGAATTCATAACATCACAATGAAAATAGAGATATAGATAATGAAAGAAAAGCCAATACTGACGACGATGACAATGCTGAAATGCACATAACATAATAGCTAGAAAACCAAAAAGAAAGACAGAAAGAAAGAAAGAAATAGCTGGCTAGATTTACTTAGCCACTTCAGCTAACCGAAATGACAGAGCATTCTGAACAAAAGTGAAGACAATGAGTAACACGGCGGCAGCAGAACCAACAATTTTCCATGGGGTGCCACAGTAGTCACGTCTCAAATTTGTGCACCATCTGTGGTACCTGCTACGATAAAATTTATTTACTTGACAACAAACTTCATGGTAATGAGAGTGTACACCTGGTGTTATGATATTTTTTCTGAGGCTGTTCACCATTGTAGCTACTGCCTTGGAGTCGCCTAGCGCATTAGTGATAATGCCTTTGTCCACCAGCAATTCCACATCTTTAGCAGTGTTTATAAGGAAATCTAATAAAAACATATACTGACTCACATAATGATTGTCAGCATAGTGGCATTGTTCAAATGCCATCACATTTCTAATGTGATGGCATTTGAACAAAAGTGAAGACAATGAGTAACACGGCGGCAGCAGAACCAACAATTTTCCATGGGGTGCCACAGTAGTCACGTCTCAAATTTGTGCACCATCTGTGGTACCTGCTACGATAAAATTTATTTACTTGACAACAAACTTCATGGTAATGAGAGTGTACACCTGGTGTTATGATATTTTTTCTGAGGCTGTTCACCATTGTAGCTACTGCCTTGGAGTCGCCTAGCGCATTAGTGATAATGCCTTTGTCCACCAGCAATTCCACATCTTTAGCAGTGTTTATAAGGAAATCTAATAAAAACATATACTGACTCACATAATGATTGTCAGCATAGTGGCATTGTTCAAATGCCATCACATTTCTAATGTGTATTTCTATGTCATCATATACTTTAAAGGGTGCCATTTCCAACTGACCATTTCCAAAGCGTAAGTGAATTGAGCCGTTCCCTCTCACTGCCCTAAACTTTAACCCTATTTCATGCAGCTGACTAGCACTGGGCAAATGTTCCACTATCTGGCTACTTGTTTCCCACTCGAGTCTCTCGTCAGTTGGTGGCAAGAAAAACTCTCTTATTAGATGAGTGAAGTGCTCCACTCGTTCGGTCACTACTTCGGCATTATGTTCTAACACGTTCACTTTCAGATCATTAAAAAAGCTCGAGGTAAGATCCGTAAAGGGAATTCCTGACCCTTCAGGAAATGCCATGTCGTACAGTTGTTTCAAAACAAAGAATGGAATTTGATTCTCAAGTAATATCAGGTCGACGTATATGGCTCCTACCAACCATGGTTTTAGTAATACATGATCTTCAACTGCCCACTGCTGATTCGAATCTAACCGAAGAAAGTACTCAAATATGAAGCACGAATCGGTTATAATCATCCTCAAGAACTTGCCACTGCTCATTTTAACTTGCTCCGCATAACATTTTCTTATTCTGTCTTCCAATCCTGTCAGGGTTCTCAGATAATCCTCCAACAACCCAACATTACGAACTCTTTCAAGGAAATTCTTGACATATGTCGATTTGAACTTTTCCATATATTCCAATTTACTTTTTCCATGGTGATATGGCCCAATTGAGACAACATTAGGAGAGTAGGCTGCTTTGTTTTGTTTGCGAATAACATCCGGAGTTTTGTAGATACAACAGTTGAATGTCAAAGGAGGGCGTGGAGTTTCTAGACTTATAGAAATCTCTCTTGCCAAACGTTCGATCCTATTCTCTTGGGAACCATTCCCTTCCTGCCTTTGAGTTGCTTCATCCACAGCTTCAATGTTTGCCATGTTTTTGTGTGAACCTTGAAAAGAAAACAGTTGACTTCAACTTTAGGTCTGAATTCCCCAGGTAAGAATTTTTTTTGTTAAGTGTATTATTCATGTTAGATCTTGTGTTTTCATAAGCTAAAATTTCAGGATTTAATCCTTAACATAATTTTGAATAAGAAAACTAGGTCAACAGACACAAATCTTTCGAAAAGATTTTCAACTTTAATTTTACAAGAATAAAGGCCCGTTTAATAGGAAGAATTAGAAAAAAGGTAAGGGAAGGGAAAATTTTCGGCAACGGGGACGTTTAGAGAGCAAAGGAAAGAAAAGGAAAAAAATGAATTAAAATAATTTTTTTAAAAAAAAAAAGAAAAAGAAATACCAAACATGCTTTTAACCAATCTGGGTAAAAAAAAACATCTCCTTCATTATCTTCATCCGGGACCAAGGATATCAAACCGAAAAAAGGGATTATGCAACGTATCATAGCTAGATCAAAACCATTGCCATGAACTCAGGCGTGGGGTTGTTTGTTTCGGCTTATCAGAAACATTTCCACACAAGTTAAAATAAAACTCATCTCATACACTGTAAAATCACATTCGAAACGCTAATTCAAACACCCTCATGAACATACCAAGCGAGCTAAGCAGTGGATGGAAGGCCAATTTCCTTTTCCTCTGGCTGGCTTTCAGCCTAACCAAGCGGCACCAAATGGAAAGGCTATGAACATGTGATTATCAAGACATGAAGAGCATAGAATAAACAGTCATCAAATGATGAATTTCTGGCCCAAAAAGAAAAAAAGAATTTAACAAGAGAACAGATAAAGAACCTGATCGAAGAACTGCTGGCTCTAAAGAAAGACGATACTGTGTTGTATATGGATGAAATCAGACACTACAGATATTTCTCCGACATCTGGACACTATAAGAAGATCTTACTAGATGCGATAATTTGCTCATGGATAAGAGTTCACTGGACAAAAATGATCTGACTTTTCAAAGATGGTCCCAACTTCTGATCATTGCCTGGGAAGACCATAATTTGCTCATTTGGTGTATCGCATTACTGCTCATAATTATTGAGTGGGGCCTCCTTGTGCATGCTAGTTTTCTAGGCTTTATTTTGGTCCCTTGCGCCTGAGTTAAGAAGACTAGCTTTCGAAGATATGGTTCTGTCTACTCCTAACATCTAATGTTACTGTTACTCCTATGGCGTTAATTTAAATTCTTAAAAAATTGTTATATTCTGTTAGTTTAATTGAAGTCTTTAAAATGATTTTGTTTATAATTTAAAAATATTAGATAATGAACTGTACATAATTATATAACATTTTAATAAGGTTGAAAATTGAAGATCAGCCTCATGTGGGTAGATATTGTCTTCCCAGTTCCCAGGCAATGACCAGTAGTTGCTCATTGATAAGAGTTCGCTGGAAAAGAATGAACTGACTTTTCAAAGGTCGTCCTATATGTTACAGGTGGCTCTCATTAATGCTCATAATTATTTGAGTGGGACCTCCTTGCGTCTGTTGGTGAGGGATTTCGGGTCCTAACTGGAATGCAAATAGATTCTTCTAGTACCCACCCGTGATCCGATCACGAAAATGGAGTCAAATTCTAAATATACAGCAAAGCACAGAGGAGAAAGATGAGAGATTTCAAAGAAGTGGTATATCCTGTAAAATTGCCTTCAGTTTTTGTTCCTTAAATTTCTCCACTCCCGTCATGCAAATTTGAAAGGGATGGTGAATATTACAGTTAACAACTCAGGTTTTTTTTTTGTTTTTACTTTGCATTCGGACCCCATCTTAGATGGTTTGGGCCTAATCCACCTAAAGGTGGATCAGTCCATATTCTAACATTCAGTTGTCTAAGATTTGGTCCCTTGTGCAACTCCCAATGGGAGAAAAGCCGAAAACTTCCAAGTCAAAGAAGACTGATTTTGGCAGATATGGTTAAGAAATTACGGATATGTCCTATAAATTAAGACCAAACTTCCTTTTTCCCCCCTTATTAATAAGATTGGTACGCAAGAAATGCTTCGTTGCGTCTCAGATTTTCTCGGAAAACTTGTCGATGAAGAGTGGATCCAAAGCATCAACTGGATATGATATACGAACGAATGGGTCAATGAAATCCGCCCGTTGGAGTTTGGGACCAAACGGTAGCAGATGGAGGGCTTAGGGCGAATATTTTTAATGATGAGCCATTCCATATGATTTGATTTGTGGTTTGAAGCAAAGCAATCCAGACCTAAAAACCCAAATGGAATATGTGCAAACCAAAACCATTAGTGGGGTTGGCATTGATGTTATACATAAACCATTAGTCCATAAAATGACACAGAACATTATAGAAAGACAGAATGAGACGCAATAATAACAAAAGAGAATGGATGGAAAGCCCACTTGATTTTTACTTCGAAAGGGAGCATCATAAGAGAAAACAAACTATTTTAAAATGATTTTCTTAGGAGTTGTTCTTTGTAACGAATGCGGATAATTTCGTCATTGCACATTGAAAATCTTCTCCCGGTTAGGCTTCTAGCTATTTTAAAGTTATTTGAATCTTTCATAGGAGATTTCAGTAATAAAATTCCTCCTTTGAGACTCTACAATGATTTTCCTATAAAACATTACAGTATACCTCGTTGTTGAGTTTCTATATGTGACTTGGGTCATTTCAAAACAATTTTCCTACTTTACTAATTATGAGCAAATTGTTTGGTTGTGTCGCTTCATTCTATTTATAAAACACTTAAAAGAATATCTAAAATTTTAATCAAGTTTTTATATTTTTGGCCCAATTAATTATTATTATTTTTTTGCCATGCCCCCAATTAGTTATATCTAATTTCATTGTACTTCTCTGATCTTATTTATAAGATATACAGAGATAATTTTATTTAGTCATATTTATACATCATATCATAATTTTAACATAAATATATTATTTTATCCTTTAGTTATTATTTTTTAGATTGTGGCCTTCTTAAAAATTGTATATATTAATTAAAAATGACTAAACTTAAAAATTTGTTAAATTTTAAAGGGACAACTAATTTGATAGTCCTTCTAGTTATCCTATGTTTTGAACCAGGTCCCTGCATTTATCTTCTTTTTTATCAGATTCTTCAAGTTTGTTCTGTCAAATGCGTTAATCCTCAAAGTAAACTGTTTAATCAGAGCTAACAACGTTAACGAATCCGTTAGCCTATAGACATACTCTTTCTCTCTCCTCCCTTTCCTGTCTCTCTCTCAAACGTTCTCTTCCTTCACAAGGCCTTAACTCCAATCTTGAATATGCTCTTTTAAACTGGAACCTTCGGACACTCACTTCGGCAGCATCACTTTTCCCAACCTCACCAACCAATTTCGACCAAGACTAGACCACACTATTCCAAGCCGGCGCGTCCTCCTTCATCCTTTTATCCTACAAACCACATACCTCCTCCTCCATTGTCAAATCCACGCCTCTCGGGGACCTTTCTTACGAGCACTTTTGAACGGCTTTGTACACATGTCCTTCAGTGTTGGTCTCACTCTCTTTGCTCTGACCAATACTACTTGTGTGAACTCACCAGTCAATATTGGAAATAAGGGAGAATTGAATTTGCTGTGATTGCTTAAATGAAAAGCTTATGCTTTGGTGATGTCGTTGGCGAACAACTTGATGCTATTCTCTGGCCCCAACTCACTTACCCCTTTTTATACTCAGTCCTCACTCAAGTTGGTCTTGTTGAATTCACTTCAAATCCAGAATGTTAAATATATTACTAAGAAGCTTTGTGATACCACAATGGGAAATGTTGACGAAGGGACAGAAGGAGATGAATGTGAGTGAAGGTAGGCAGCAAAGGACAGTGAGGAAGGGTCTTGTAGCTTGGTCTGGAATCAAGGGAGAGAGAGGGAGAGAGAGGGAGGATAAAGGGGGGAGAGAGAAAGAGAATGAGAACAAACTAATTTCAAACTCATTTTAATTTTTACATGTGATGCCTAGTTAGCGTAACGGATTTTTTTAACGTTGTTACCTCTTATTAAACAGTTTTTAACGTTAAGGAGTAACGCATTTGACTGAACAAATTTGAAGGATATGGTAAAAAAGAAAATAAGTGTAGGGATCTAATTCAAAACTCAAGATAACTATAAGGACTGCCAAATTAGTTTTCCCAATTTTAAAGCAAAGTTAATAAGTTTTAAGATTTTTTTTCCAATGAAAAAGTGCTAAAAGTCATTTATAAATTAAAAAAAGAGGAGTATTAATTAATATCTCCCCCACATTCATCTGTCCTGCTCATTCGCTCTTGTTCACTCTCTCCCCACATAAATAAAGGTATTTTTTAGAAAATAAAATATACTATATCTAGTCCTTAATATATAATATGTGATATTAAAAACATTAATTTAATTAGTTAATTATTTGTAATAAATCAATGTTGTCTTTAATAAAATATTATTATTAATCATGTATATTTGAATCATCTTTTGATAGTAACTCCTTAACATGCCCAATCACCATAGGATTACTTAAGAGCAAAATGAATAAATATTGAAAACAAAGTGGATTGATGTTTTATATTTAAGATCAAATTGTATTTTCAACTAATTCTTATATTAAAAATAAAAGATATTATTATTTTAACATATTTATCATTTTTAATCAATTTTGACTGACTTTTTTTTATCTATGTAATTTAATTATTTTTATTTTATATACATAGGATCAGAAGGAGTACCACGTTATAGCATTTTTCTTCAATTTTTTTTGGGAGAAAATAGACTATAGAAAGTCAACTCGTGGTAAACGTAAGAACCTAATCAGTGTCAATTCAACAAATTCATAACATGCTTAGGTCATCCTATTCGACCAAACGAATTTGTAAGAGAGTGTGTGTCTAAGACCTAGATTTGAAATCAAATTTTTTTTATAGCAAACTATTTAGCATTTGATATTAGTCATTAATTTGAATTCTAGTTGTGCTCGACAAAAATTGAGAGAGTACTAGAGGAGAA